GCAGCTGGTCTTTAGAACCTCTGGCCTAACTAAGACGCGTTATGGGGTGTCCCAAAGTCACAAGACTTGGGGCAAATGAGAATACATAGAAAGATGAGCTAGACCACACCACTGCTTGGTGGGAGTTTAATAGCCACCCCCACACCCCTGCCCCCACTGACCTCTCCATAAGCCCATTGCCTAGGTCTCCATCCCCACTAGTGACCTCTGCCAGGGCCCTTGGTGAGCACAGACACAGCTGTAGAGGAGAAGGAGCCTGGTGGTACAGTGCTCAAGCCTTTGACCGTCACAGAAAGTTCAACATCTGAGCCCACCAGTCACCATGCAGCACACAGACCTGGAGACTGGGTTCTGCACAAACTCTAGCCTTGGAGACGCTATGAGGTGGTTCTCCTCTTAGAGGGTCACTATGACTATAATGCACTGAGCCTCGACAGCCGTTGACCCTGCTGGTCAGTGCTCAACCAGGTGAAGTTCACTAGGGGAGACTGTGGCGGGTAAAACCAAGGAGCAGAGGAGGGAGGTCTTAGAAGCCGTCAGAGCAGAGAGTTTCAAGAGTGGAGAGGGCAGCAGGCCCCTGCTGATGAGAGCTGGGCACTGCGAGGGGGGACAAGTGCCCACTGGATTGAGTTCATGGTGATGGTCATGATCAGAGGGGACTTACCCGACTGCCCAGTTCCACTTCTTCCTCAGGCCAGGTTAGTGGCACACCTAGTGGGAAAAGAACAAAGGATCCTGGTTGGTTTCTGTCATTATTATTCTCCAAGACCTTCCATTACCTGTCTCTCTCCTAGATGGGGAAGCTCAGGTCACGGAAGGTCAGCCGGGTGCCCAAGGACATAGAGTTTCAATTTATGTTGAGTGAAGCCCAGACTCAGGACCATTCACAGTCAGCTTCCTTGTCTCATGGCCCCGGTCCTTCCATCTCCTCTCCTCCTTACACAAGTTCTCCTCCTGGATCCCGGGGGCTGGACTGGAGCTGGAGGAGAGAGGAGTGTTGAGTGGTGGGGAGGGGGTGGTCCCAGACCCGAGGTGGGGAGGGGGCGGATGGAGGGGGCGGCCCTGGACCCGAGGTCTTTGTGTTCTTACGCGTTTGGGAGACTTCTGCCCTCGATTAGGGCCACTGTGGTCCCTGCAGGAAGTTGGAAAATAACCTGCAACTAGATCTCCTGGTTCCCCGAGATCCTAGCTACGCTTCCCACTGTCAAGGCCACGTGCACATCTACTGAGATCTGAGAAAGATGGCCACTCTTCTAACCCTTCTCCGTTCCAAGCCCAGAGAACATGATTTCAATACTAAAAGACAAAAGTTGTATTTGGGTCTCCAATATTAAGTGTCAAGAGAGAAAAAAAGGCATTCAAATATTTACATGGTCAATCACTTGAAATACCTGTCTTTTCTTTTCACGCAAATATACACAGCGAAGCTCATTAGTATCCCAGTTTCTTTTTTTTTTTAAGTGTTTTATTATTATTCGTGTGTGTATTGTCAGATTGGATCTGACTGGTATCAGAGGAGATTGTCCCTCCTTGTTCAGCAGA